CGAGGAAATGAAGGTTGCGAAGCAAATACGGTTCAGGATGAGTAAATAAATCGAGATAATATCAAATATCCGCGTCCATTGTACTATTTGCTGTGATTCTAAAAGCGAAAAAATATTTACTTGATTTCTGCTAGTCTCAATTGCAAAATATTGTGCAGAACTTTGATTAAATTTTGTCTTTCCAAATCTAAACCAAGGAGCTTTTTAATAAATTACTTAACTTCCAAGCCTAACATATATCTAGATTACGATTTTCCATCCAGTCCTTCAGAAACCTTAATGGAAAAATTTGTAGACATTTAATTAGTATTTTAGCTCGGATGTTTCAGACCAAATGATATTCAAATTCAAAACGAATACGAAACTGTTCGGTCTTGTTTGAAAACTTAAATTCCCCTTTCCACGTTAGCAATCGATTGTAAGACTAAACAAACTTTTCTCGTCTCGTACTAAATCCGTCAGCTTTTCTTTTTCCCCCTCCTTTGCCTTTGTTATTAATTTCACATCATTTACCTTAAAAGCTCACATAATTTATTCATAAATCGAAAATGGAAGTTCACTAACAAAACGAGATACATTATATACAACGTTGTTTGCTTTAAGAAGTTTTTTTACACCGCGCGACCTAATAAATAAATTGCCTTAAGGGTAATGGATGTCGTCATGTGGACGAGCTTTAGATGACGACGGAGGGCTGTTGCGAGCTTATTTACGGGTCTGATAAAGTCCTCCGCGGAAACGAGACCTAAATTGATGCGATTACCTACAACAACGACCTTGTTAGCGTTAAAGCTAATAATTTATAACAATTTATCATTCTTCGTTTGACAAATTTTGGGTTTGCTTAACGGTAATTATACCTGAAATAAGATTGTAAAAAAGCTTGATTGTCTGTCTGTAAAAACCGTTTCGAAAATAGAAAAGGAGAACTCTAATGATATAACAGAGAACTCGCTCCCCGCAAACCCCTTACCACCCCTACCACAACAAAAATATACCTCGGTGAAAAGTTTATGAAAATCCTATCCAACTGTGCAATTAATAATTCTACAGGGTGTATGAATAATTACCATTGGATAGCATATTTTTAGTCTTTTCAATGATGCATCACCAGCAGAAGTTTGTAATTTTAATTTTTTTAGTTGGGGTAGGTTAGGGTTTGCCAAGTGAGTTTTCTCTTACGTAATATTAATTTCCCCCCTTTCTACACTATGTACGGTTTTGAGTATTTATTGATATTATCTGCCGTTTGCGAGTAAGTTTTTAAATTTTCACCGTATTTGAACAGGGTGTAAATCGTAAAGTAGAACATAGGCGTTTAACATGGGAATAACCACTGCCTTTTTTTGAGGCCCGAAAAAAAAAATTGTCTCAGATCGACCCGGAAAAAAAATTTTCTTATAGAATGTGGCCTGTAGAATCCATAATTCCAAACAGTTCCAAGATTGGGCTACTAGTTCAAAAGTTACAGCCCTTTGAATTTTTTTTCGAAATTGGTTTCTAGTCTATAACTTTTGATTGAGAAGCCTAATCGAAAAAGTACGAATTGTTTTGGATTTTACGCACCAAAATTAATAAGAAAAAGTGTTTTCCCGAGAAATTTTGGTGCAGTCGATTTTTGGTAAAAAAGGGAGGTTGTACACTGCCTTTTTTTGAGACTCCAAGAAAAAATTGTCTCAGATGGACCCGGAAAAAAAATTTTCTTATAGAATGTGGCCTGTAGAATCCATAATTTCAAACAGTTCCAAGATTGGGCTACTAGATCAAAAGTTACGGCCCTTTGAATTTTCTTTCGAAATTGGTCTATAACTTTTGATTGCGAAGTCTAATCGAAAAAGTGCAAATTGTTTTGAATTCTACGCACCAAAATTAATAAGAAAAAGTGTTTTCCCAAGAAATGTTGGTGTAGTCGATTTTTGGTAAAAAAAAGGAAGGTTAACCACTGCTTTTTTTGAGGCCCGAAAAAAAATTGTCTCAGATCGACCCCGAAAAAAAATGTTCTTATAGAATGAGGCCTGTAGAATCCATAATTTCAAACAGTTCCAAGATTGGGCTACTAGATCAAAAGTTACAGCCCTTTGAATCTTCTTTAGAAATTGGTTTCTAGTCCATAACTTTTTATTGAGAAGTCTAATCGAAAAAGTACGAATTGTTTTGGATTCTACGCCCCAAATTAATAAGAAAAGTGTTTTCCCGAGAAATTTTGGCGTAGTCGATTTTTGGTAAAAAAAGGAAGGTTAACAACCACTGCCTTTTTTTGAGCCCCGAAAAAAAAATTGTCTCAGATCGACCCGGAAAAAAAATTTTCTTATAGAATGAGGCCTGTAGAATCCATAATTTCAAACAGTTCCAAGATTCGGCTACTAGACCAAAAATTACAGCCCTTTGAATTTTCTTTCGAAATTGGTTTCTATTCCATAACTTTTCATTGAAAAGTCTAATCGAGAATGTACGAATTGTTTTGGATTCTACGCACCAAAATTAATAAGAAAAAGTGTTTTCCCGAGAAATTTTGGTGCAGTCGATTTTTGGTAAAAAAGGAAGGTTTGTGCACTGCCTTTTTTTGAGGCTCGAAGAAAAAATTGTCTCAGATCGACCCGGAAAAACATTTTCTTATAGAATGTGGCCTGTAGAATCCATAATTTCAAACAGTTCCAAGATTGGGATACTAGTTCAAAAGTTACAGCCCTTTGAATTTTCTTTCGAAATTGGTCTATAACTTTTGATTGAGAAGTCTAATCGAAAAAGTACGAATTGTTTTGGATTCCACGCACCAAAATTAATAAGAAAAAGTGTTTTCCCGAGAAATTTTAGTGTAGTCGATTTTTGGTAAAAAAGGAAGGTTATACACTGCCTTTTTTTGAGGCCCGAAAAAAAAATTGTCTCAGATCGATCCGGAAAAAAAATTTTCTTATAGAATGAGGCCTGTAGAATCCACAATTTCAAAGCGTTCCAAGATTGGGCTACTAGATCAAAAGTTACAGCCCTTTGAATTTTGGTGTAGTCGATTTTTGTTAAAAAAAAGGAAGGTTAGCCAGTTGGGAAATTACTTTTTCTTTGCGCAAACGTTTCCTAATTATTTTACGCAAAAATACTTCAAATAAAAGCTATAGAGATATAAATTCTGCATCTAAATCGTGTGAAACGACTATTCTACCTCTTCTTGTACGCGAAAAAATTAATTATAAAGATTCTGTTTTCACGAGTTTTTAGTCTAAGTAGCCATGAACTATGATAAAAGAAAAACATAGTCTCAATTTTGAGTATAATTTGTACGAAGCATAATGTACCCAAATGCAATAGTTTCCAAGTTATCGAGTTTTGAAAAATGAAGGTATTGCTTTAAAATCTATTGAATAAAGAACAATAATTAATGACATCATGATTTTTTTTGAAAACATTCCGTGGTTTGTGCAATTTGTTATGATTATTAATGATTAATTATTGTTTTTTGTTCAATTATTAAAGTATTTTAAAGTAATAGCGTTTATTTTCAAAACTCGGGATATCGAAATGATTGAATTTAGGTACATTATGCTTATTACAAATTTTGCTTATAATTCCAAAGATTCCAACACACAGAATATGGCCCCGGACTTAGTACCCCAATGAAATAACAACCGAAAAAGGAGAAACAATACTGATTGTTTCCTTTGCAAACTAACAACAAACAACACATTTACTTAATACTCTGTATACCATAAGTAACATTCTACCTAAATGCATTTTATTTTTTCTATATTCATTTTGATTTTAACCGCCTCCGTCAGTCGCAGAGTTTAAAGTGCCGAGCTAATCAAAATATCGAAGTAAATAGTTTCCGGGATCGCTTAATGTCGGGAAACGGGTAAATGCACAGAAAAATCTGAATCTCTTTCGATGTACAAATGCACATTCAACCTCTTCTACGCCTCTGTAGAAATTAGTTGCGACTAGTTCACTATGAGATCCAACAAAATAATTTATGAAAAAAATAAGCAGATAATTTCCCTAGAGCAAGTTATTCAGAAGAATAAGCTATGAATTTCATTACAAAGATGATTGCAAATTTCAGAGTGGAAATGAGTTGATATCCAGTACGTGTGGTTTGGTTGCAGCCTGTGGGCGAGATTTTAAAATTGCTAAATCATAGCCGTTCCTTGCTGGGAAAAGAAAGCACGTACTAAGATAAACTAGCAGACAAATAAAGTTCAAACCTGCATCACTTTCCACCGTACGACAATTCAGATCTCGGTACTGAAACCTTTTCGGAAAGTTATTCAATTTTGATGTATTTTCAACTGAAATAGGTTTATTCATACTGGATAGATTTCTATAAACAGGAGATAGAGACGTTTCCACCGCTATATGCAATCATCTTATCCACATAAACTGGAAATGTGAGCGAGTCGCTTTCGGAGCAATTTAATGGGCTTATTTGGCATCTATTAGTGATCAAAGCAAACAATAATTCACGAATTAATTTCGAGAGGATGGCGTGGTTGTCTCTCGAAGTGCACTCAATTTCCTCACTTTGCATAATTCCGGAGGTAATCACGTCCACGCTGGCTCAATATAATATGATTGATAGCACTCACCATGTTCGTATCAGAAAATTTTAATTCAATTTACCGTCGCTTCGTGTATAATGGATAATGGAGAACTCGTTTCCGGTGGTTTTCGTTCACAAATTTAGTACAAATTGTAATGGATACCGTTTTAATTTAGAAAGCTTTTTATTATGATCCACTTTATTCTCTGTAATTGAATAAAGGTTTCCATTAAGGGATTATCTTAATTTAAAAGTAAGTAATTCTCGCATCACCACACAAATCCCTTCTAACCTTTATGCCTTTATGGAAAATTAACAATTTCAATCGTTCAGAAATAGTACACGATCGATTCGCCCTTACGCCTTATCTCTATGGCTACAAATAAAAGCACACCCTCAGGGATATAACCTTTCTGTACAAATTCACGCCTGAAACGACGAATTTAATTTGAATGTTTTCGTGTTTCAGAGCCACTTGGAGAGGATACTCGAACGTCCCGATCGGTTACTTGCCATTGAAGATGGGAGTGCGAATAAGATTAACGGAAACGCAATTACCGACAGCAATCAAAATTCGGAAACGGACACGTTCTGCGCCTTCCAAACGGTGTTCGAGCTGCGAGCAGCTGGCGCCCAGAGTTTGGTTTCGAGACCCTCATCCTTCGACCTGAAGACGTCGACGCTGGCCCAAATCGCCAGCTACACGGCTTTTACTGGACGAATTTTAAACATTCCGGACGTCGACGCCTGGCTAAAGGAGAACAAGAACAACGGAGACGCCGAATCGGCCAAGACGATCCTCTGCATGCCGATCGTTAACGGCAAAAAGGATATAATCGGTGTCGCCCAGTTGATTAATAAGGCGAACGGCGTCCCATTCACCGAATGCGACATTTCGCTCTTTGAGGCGTTCGCGATTTTCTGCGGACTCGGAATACATAACACCCAAATGTACGAAAGTGCCTGCAAGCTGATGGCGAAGCAAAAGGTTGCGTTAGAGTGCCTATCGTACCACGCGACCGCCAGTAATGAGACGACCGAGAAATTGGCGCAGGAGGAAATTCCGTCGGCCGAAGTTTACAATCTGCACAATTTTACCTTTATCGATTTCGAGCTAAGCGACGATGAAACCTGTAAAGCTTGCGTTAGAATGTTTTTAGAGTGTAATTTGGTACAGCAGTTTCACATTCCCTACGAGGTGAGCTTTTTTCCTGCACTTACAGAGTTGAATTTAATTTATTATGTATAACTTTTTAATTCAAACATGCAGTCCATTTAATGCACTATCGAATTAATTTAATGCTTCCCATATTACTTATCAAACTTTTAATGCATGTAGGTATTAGAGTCTCGCTTTGGATTTTCATCTTCCTAAAAGCTCGAGGGGTAGGTATGGGAAATCGTTTACGAAGTATAAAAATGAGGAAAGATCACATAAACTCGATATGACATGCTACCAAAAGAAAAATAGATATTTTTCAAGTTACAGTTTTATCCCGCGCCGTTATTTAAAACCGAAGACGCAAATTCACCCCCTTCGTGCCTTGAATCATTAGGTAGGCAATAAAGTGCAGAAGCAATAACTGTACTGCAAAAAATTAAATACTGAGTCAAATAAAAAGGCGTACAATTCTTCCCAGAAGGTTCGCTTATAAAAAATCGGCCCCAACTAGAATATTCGCCCGCAGAACGCTCCTCTAGGATATTCATAAATCTCACTCAAAGAGGATGTGCTTTTATGCGCTCAGCTCCAAAATTGCCTACTTTTTGTCTGACAGGTTATTTTATCAAACATTCCAGTAATAGGTTTGCAAACCTTTTTGAGAGAATTTTATGCAAAATCAGAAAGGATTGGAGGAAGTCCTGGAAGTTTTTATTCTGAAAGAATATTAAAATATGGGATAATGTATATGAATAACAGAACATTATACTATAATAAAAATGAGAATATGCTCTTCTAAAGACTTGCTCATTCTCTCGAATCCAAAAATTTACCTGAAAATTGATATAAATGCTTTGAAAAAAGTATCAAAATGGTCGCGGACTGTTCTAACGATGTTAGTGTTTATTTGATAATTCGTCAAAGCAGGGGCGGACTGGCCCGGGGGGGGGGCGGGCGGCGATTACCACCTGGCCCGTAGGTCATAATGGCCGGTTGGAAATTATGTGCTGTATTAGACAGCATTAATGTAAGTTTCTTGCACTATTAATAAATTATTAACACGTTTCTCTCATTGGGGTTGGAATTAAGCTGCAATTTTAAACCATATTCTAATTGATTTTCGAGAAAGGAATACTTTAAAATGAAGCAAAAAATGTTTTTGGAGTGCACCGCAGCTCCCCCCACACCGCCATCTTCATTACACTAACACTTCCGCCCCTGCGTCAAAACATGTTGAAGCAATTCTCAGGAAATTAAAAAAGGCAACTTTTACACCAATAAGTTCAGTAAAATTGCATGAAGGGATTCTAAATACATGTCAGAGGAATTTCACACCTGGCCCTACGGCAAGAGAGGAGTTTCGAACGCCAACAATGTGGGTACATCTTAAAAGATGAGTCATTTTTGAGATTGAGTATTTAATAAAGGGCAGAATGGGATGGAAAATGAACTATTCGTGAACTAACATAGCTGAAGATATTCCCTGATCATGGAGACGACATCCAAAGTAGTCGGTGTAGGTTTCATCAATTTAATTCCGGGCGCAACTGATTGAAATCGGCGTAAAACTTGTGAGCAGCATCTTGAGAGACTAATAAAACAATTCCTTATAACTGATCAAGGATGTATCGGAGAATCTCGACATAGGAATATTCCAAGAATATAAGCGAAATGAGAGCTCAAAAAGTAAAACACAAAATTTACCACTTCCAATCTCCCCTACCATCAGTACTATCTTGTCGAAGGCTACCACATTCTCTTTGTAGGTACCCATTTCCGACGTCCCGTTCACTCGCAATTTACATTTCGGTGGATTTCGCTAAAATCCCGGCGCAGAGTAGTACTCAATTTTGGGTTCTCATAGCTTCTATTGGCGACACGATAAAGAGAGACCGCGATTCGAACTCTAAGAAACTTTTGGGCGCCAAAAGTCGAATACCCCGCGAAACGCGCCGTGCAAAAGGTGGTTCATTTCGCCCCTAGACAAATTCAACAAAATTCCGCCACGCAGGAGTTGACAATATCTTTCCGACGACATCAATTTGCAATCGGAGAAAAACTGTAGACGAAAAACTGAAAAATCTCCAGGTAACTATAACACGCTTGGAGATGGCGCCCAGATGTCGCCGACCCCACATCTTGTAGACCCGTCCCTAAACCTTTTAACAAATAAATTTGCAAAATCGCGCTAAAAAATGAGAGATGCTAAATTACTTAAAAAAAGAAAATTTTTGGAATTTATAATATTTTCAAGGGCTTTAATATACAGGGTACCTGATAAATCTGGAAACGGTAGATTATCGGGGAAAATATACAGTACCTATATCAAAAAAAGGTTTATACAAAAGTTTTGGGATTCTTCAATGTCTACTACCACTGATAGCTTTAATTATACCGGGCTAGTCATAAAACGTGGCACGCCAAAATGGCACTTTTTTAATACGAAACACCCTGTATATTATTGGATATTTTGATTTATTTTCAAAATTCGATAACCCGCAAACGATTGAATTTGGGTACATTATGCTTATTACAAATGTTGCTTAAAGTTAAAAGAAGAATATTGTACGGGGTGTTCCATAAAAAATGGAAAAGCGGTGTGCCTCGCGTTTATTACCAACCCTACTGTATTAATTAATTAAAATTGTTACTGCCTAGATTCCCAACAATTTTGTGTAAGATTTGTGTTTTCGATGTCTTGCATATTTTCCCCGATAATCGACCGTATCAGCAACCCTGTATATTCCAAAAGCATCTAAGACATTTTCAGAGAATTCACGAAGAGAGCTAGGAAGATTCCAAAGAAATTCCAAATTTATGAGTTCAGAAAGTATGGCGACTGTAAAAGGTTTTTTTTCCATCAAGACAAATATATTTTGTTTTTTCCACCCTGAGCAACGTATTGATTGAGGGTGATAATTGCAAGATCTCTCCACCCCAGTAAAATCCATTTCCACCGAGGTGACCCCAACACAAAACAATGTTTAATATTTGGTATCGCCACTTAGATACGTCCAAAGAAAATTTTGGTTTCAATCAAATGGAAATAATTGCGTTAGTGGTCCATAAACCTGGCGAATCAAAAATTGAAGCCAAATTTGGAGCGGATTTTTTAAAAATGTTTGTCGAAATTGAGGCAGCCTACTTACAATTATTTGCGTCTAGTAACCCGACTCAATCGCTTGCGGCGAAGGTGGTAGAAATACCTTCCTCTACTTCTGTTTTTGATCTTCTCGTTCAGCTTTGGGATAGTTACATCGTTACATAGGGGAAGAGGGTACATGGAATTTTATCTAATAATTTCATTCTGTTTCAGGTCCTTTGTCGGTGGATTTTGAGCGTAAAGAAAAACTACCGTCCAGTAAAGTACCACAACTGGAGGCACGCGCTAAACGTCGCGCAGACAATGTTCGCCATGTTCAAAACTGGAAAGATGGAACGTTTCATGAGCGACTTGGAGATTTTAGGTATGCTGGTCGCCTGCCTCTGCCACGACCTCGACCACAGGGGCACGAATAACGCGTTCCAAACGAAAACCGAATCGCCATTAGCAATACTGTACTCGACTAGTACGATGGAGCATCACCACTTCGACCAGTGTGTCATGATACTCAACACTGAAAGCAATAATATATTCCAAGTAGGTGGGTTTGAGTATTACCAACGAAAATAGACACTGAAACTAGTAAATACAAGTAATTTAGGATCGCTTCATCCAACACTTTAAAATGCTTTCAGGCTTTGTCACCTGATGACTACAGGACGGTGATGGGAGTCGTCGAGGCGGCGATCCTGTCGACCGACCTGGCGATGTATTTTAAAAAGCGTAATAAATTTTTGGAACTTGTCGAGAATGGCGAGTTCGACTGGCAGAGTAAGGACAAGAAAGAATGTAAGATACTTGTCTTTCCCACATGGTTTTGAAATCCTACACTTGCAGTGCTCTGTGGTATGATGATGACGGCCTGTGATGTCAGCGCAATTGCAAAACCATGGGACGTACAGCATCGCGTTGCGAAGTTAGTCGCGGACGAGTTCTTCGACCAAGGCGACATGGAGAAGCTTCAGCTGAAGGAGCAGCCTGTGGTTCGTTAACGAGTTAATGGGCGAATAGAAAGAGTTTAAAACATTTGTCAATAGGCAATGATGGATCGGGAACGTAAAGACGAGTTGCCTCGAATGCAAGTCGGTTTTATAGACGTTATTTGTTTACCGTTGTACAGGGTGTTATCGGAAACGTTTCCGTGGATGAAACCGTTATACACCCAGACGGTGGAGAATAGACAGCACTGGCAGGATCTTGCTGAGAAGGTGGAAATGGGCCTTACGTGGATTGATCACGACACTATTGATAAACCAGTAGAAGCTATTACAGGTAAGCATCCGGAATCAATCAATCTCATTCATTATGCATTACATTTTTTCCATCAGAAACCTTTATAAATTATATGTATCTGCATTAGGTGCATATAAAAAGACATCCAATATAGCACAAAATAACTTTTATCCCAAGAAATCCCATTTTCTTACAGATTGTTAGTTTTTAAAGTTAATTTTGACGATGAACTCGTTGCGTGGTTAGGGTTGGAGAGAAATATTTCACGTTTAATGCCACTTTTGTATTTGTAGACATTTTTAAATCTGAAATGGGAAACCCGTGGATGTAGCGCGTTTAAAATGCTACTCGTTTCGCTAAATCATACAAAATTTCCAAGTGCGATTGATCTCTGTTTGAAATGGTATCGACAGATAAAGAGCGGAATCAAAAAATTGGAAGCAAACCTCTAATGGAAAAGGAAATAGAAATTAAACGAGAAACTGAAACACATAAATCTGAAAATGGAACGATAGACGATAAGGTTCTCGATTGCCGACATCCATAAATCCCATCCCGAGGGAATTAAAAATAAACAAAATTGTGAAGGAAGATTAAAATTGGGGTGAAGACTAAGCAAAGAAGAGGCCGAATAAATTTCATGAAAATGCCAGGTCGATATGCGAATTTGAAGTATGGAGAGGACAAGTTAGTTTTAAAGTGAAAGGTTTAATTTCAAGTAAAATTCATAGTCACTCGCTGTGTGTCGCTAATTGTTAAAATCAGCGAAATTATCCCCTTTTAGATGGCTGTACGTTTAAATGCACCACGCTAAATAGGGGTTGTACCCTATTTAATATTTACTCGTGTCATGAATACCTAATTCATGGAACTTTAACCTATAAAGTTCCATTTTGTCTGGTGATTGTCAAATACGAAAGCATTTCGTAAATCCCTTTTTTCAGGTTTTCTTCTTTTGGGGGGTGTCATCTCAACAATGTGTTTTCAGAGGCATGAAAATGAACTATCGTTTTGAATTTAACGACTTACCATTTTCGGAAAATTCGAATTTGTAAAATCACGAATGGAAACTGGTTCAAGTACAATCAGGTACATTAGTAGATTGGGGATTTATTTAAAAATGTTCTGATGCTGACATAAAATGGTACGCGATGGTCCGCGAAAATCCCACTTAGAATTAATTTTCAACGATAGAAAAATTCACGCAGAAAACAGTGCACGTGATCGCTTGTCGAATAAAATACCGAAACGGACCTTCTTCTCTGAACGCAACGACCACACTCTTTTAAATGAATTGAGTTGCATACCTTTCAATCATGTCCTTTATAAGTGACCTTAGTCAAGAAATAATCCGCCGATTTAGAAGAACTCAGAACTACCTTAGCTCGGACATAAACCTGTAAAGATTATTACGGTTCAGAACCGTTTGACGAGACAAACTCTAGTCCAGAACCTTACTAGCATTTGGCGCAGTTTTAAACCCAGTTTTGATTTATAATCGGCCCTATATAACGCAGTCTTTTTTATAAACCATGATTCAGAACCGTTTCTAGCAAAGATTCGAACCCACGCAGCAGAGTTTCAAATCTACTCACTTTTCTAGTAACTTTCAAATCTAGTGACCTTTGAATCGGATAGCAGTGTTTCAACCCTAGTTGCTTTTCTAGGAACTTTTGACATGACTCTTTGCGGCCATATATTACTGTGACCCTAGCAGAGTTTCAAACTTGGTTAATTTTCTAGTAATTTTTTCGCATCTAGTGACTTTTTTAGGGACATTTTGAGCTAGAATCGGTCCTATATTACTACTAATGTCGCCACATTAAAAATCGGCTATAGAAAAAATGTTTTTAGAGAAATATCTAATAAAGAGAACTCAAAACGGCATTTTTAGTGCATTTTCCAAAAGGAAAATGAACGCTCTATTGCCCGCACTTTGTCTGTCTGTTCAGATGTACCACTACTAGTCCTCCAGTTTAAGCTTTTTCGTTGTAGTTTCTTTCTTATACGGCGTAGTACAGCCCAGAGACCAGAACGACAAAAGTTTATTTGGATTGGTCACTTCCTTCCCGAGTTAAAACTAATTCTGTGCCGGGGAAAATGCGCTTTCGTCAGTCGCGTGTGAACATCAGAAAAAGGACCCGTAAGAATTCAAAAGGAATGTAACCATAATTAAGAGAGGATAGAATTTAAATTTAAAGGAGTAGAAGAATATCAGATAAATTCGTGAGAATACATAATTCAAGAATAATTGTGAGATTTCGAATTTGAGATGAATCACGGGTGCATTTAAGAATAGTTGAGGGGGTGAGAAATTAATGAGGAAGACTGTATATAAATTGTAACTTTTAGTTTAAAAAAAAGCGCAGGAAGAATTCAAAAGGTTTTCAAGAAGTGTTCAAGAGAAATTTAAGAGTAATTTTCAACGATAGAAAAATTCACGCACAAAGCAGTGTACGTGATCGCTTGTCGAATTAATTTTTAACGCACTCAAATAGTACTTTTCGACTCGCGAATCCAAGCAAGAATCTCTCACCCGCCCATTTCTTCCACTATTAAACCTGTAGATTATTCTAGTTCAGAACCGTTTGACATGACAAACCCTAGTTCAGAACCTTCTAGCAATTGGTGCAGTTTTAAACCTACTTTTGATTTAGAATCGACCCTACATAAAGCAGTCTTTTTAATAAACCCTGATTCGGAACCGTTTCTAGCAAAGATTCGAACCCACGCAGCAGAGTTTCAAATCTACTCACTTTTCTAGTAACTTTCAAATCTAGTGACCTTTGAATCGGATAGCAGCGTTTCAACCCTAGTTGCTTTTCTAGGGACTTTTGACATGACTTTTTGCGGCCATATATTACTGTGACCCTAGCAGAGTTTCAAACTTGGTTAATTTTCTAGGAATTTTTTCGCATCTAGTGACTTTTTTAGGGACATTTTGAGCTAGAATCGCTCCTATTTTACTACTAAAGTCGCCACATTAAAAATCGGCTATAGAAAAAATGTTTTTAGAGAAATATCTGAACTCAAAACGGCATTTTTTAGTGCATTTTCCAAAAGGAAAATGAACGCTATTGTCCGCACTTTGTCTGTCTGTCAAGCTGTACCACTACTAGTCCTCCAGTTTAAGCTTTTTCGTTGTAGTTTCTTTCTTATACGGAATTTGAGATGAATCACGAGTGCATTTAAGAATAGTTGAAGGGGAAAGCAATAGAAATTAATAGGAAGACTGTAGTAAATTGTAACTTTTAATTTAAAAAAAAAGGCGCATGCAGGAAGAATTCGAAAGGTTTTCAAGACGTGTTCAAGAGTAATTTGAAAGGTAATTGAAACAAAAAAGGAGTATTTAGAAGAAATTCATGAAGAATTTAGGATAAATTCATTAAGAATGCAGGAGGAACCTGATAGATATCTCAGAGAATTTGTGTAATGTTATTATGTTATTTATACAGAAATTTAATGGCTTTCAGTGGTAAATTAGAGCGACAGAATTTATGAGGAACTGGCTATATCTACTGCAATTCTGTAAAAATATTAAAAATTGTAGAGGAATTGGAAAGGAATTCAGAATGATTTTATGAACAAAGTAAAAGAGGTTCACATTAAATAGGAACGGAAACTATAGAAAGGTCAAGAAGAATTCAAAGAATTTTGAAAGGGACCCCAAACAGATTTCACAAATAGATTGAAAAGAAATCTAAAAAGATGAAAATTAAAAACGAAATTAATCAGGAACAGCATATACGAAGGGAAAAATAATTTGACTCGGAATTATAAAAAAATAGAACTTCAGGAGTGTACGGATGAGTGAATCAAAGGAAGCACCCCCTTCATCTCGGTGTTGGAACAGGTTTTCCGGTCAACCTGGACTGGTTTGTGTGAAATATACAGGGAGGGAGGAAATTGACACAAATAATTCATGGGAATTCAATCACAATTTCCAACGAATTAAATAAAATACAATAGGGGTTAAAACAAGCGTTGAATTAAACCATAATAATATAGCTTAGACAGACTTAGAGATCAACTCATTAGGATTTGAGGGGTAATCAATTCGGCGAAAATTTAAGAGATTTAGGACGGTTCCGGAATACTTATCAAAAAAGTCAGGAATATGTAAACATTTGTAGATGGCTACCCACGCACTGAAACAATTATTCTTTTAAAATGTATGATGATACAAAATAATGTATGAAAGTGTAAAATTCTTCTATAATAATTTTTCCTTGAAGGATGCTGAATAGCTAAGATTTAAGTAAGTTCATTTACTTATTATGACTTTACGTCAGTCCGTCGGCCTGTCTACATGATAATTTCTGTGTTCACTAATAGGTAGACAATAGTAATAGGTCAAGAGACTATCTGATTAAATGTTGGTCATTTGAACTTTCTGTCCGTCCGTCTGTGTTTGTCGAGTTATAACAGACATATCTAACTATTACCTGTGATAGTAATTTTCCTATTTTAGAACAGAATAATTTTTCCGGTATCAATTATTGACTTATTAGGTATGTTTTCCCGGTGCAAACTTTGTTGTTACGGATAATTGGTATAAGCAGTATAGAAACAGGAAAATTTAAACAAATTGTGTAGGTATCAGGATTACACAAACGCAAATTTAATTTTTTCACGTATTACGTTTGCCTGATATGTCTGGAAGAGTTCTATTTATTCGTTTTAAGTAAATTAATAATTATTGTGTAATGAGCACAAAATCCACGAACAATCTCGAGACAGACTGCCTATATACACTGTGTTCAAGATCAGGATGTACCTATATCATGGGGATCTCCGAAAAGAAGATGCGACGATGGTCAAATTAGAAGTTGCGCAATTAAACGCTTATTATCATGCTGTATAGAAAACCAGAACATTCCAATTACTTCCGAAGATATGCTAGAAAAACCGATCCGAAACCAATTTTATTATATTTTTATCATATTTGAGCAGATACCGAAAAATAAAAAAAAACCTTTCTCATTGCCACCTTTGAAGCTCTGGTTGAAATATTTTCATTACAACGTTTCGTTCCGGAGAAATCGTTGTCAACTTTATTTTTTATACGGCTCGTAAAAAAGTTTATACTGTATTGAGTACCATTTTTTACTACGAAATACAATTATATACGGCACCCAACAAAAAAAAGGAAATTCTGGTGGTTTCAACAGGATGGTGCATCCGCGCACAAAGAGACCTTATAAAGCGAGAAAGTAATACGTATAATTAACAAAAACTTAAATTCATTTTAATTACTCCGAAGCTATGAAATACGCTTTAAATGTGCATTGGTCAATTTCAAAGACACATCGGCGATTTTAATGCCATATTTCCTTTTAAATGGACAAATGCGCTTGAGCTCGCCTTCGGCTGTCAAGTATTAACGTGTGACCACCACGAGAAACTACTGTATATTCTGTGGCGTTACGAATGAGATGGTATTACTCCAGTCCAAAACATATATTACCTACATACCGAGTGATAAGTAGTCACAAGTTCAAGTGACAGTAGTTATAATAGCAATTACTTACGGTGTTCCTCAGTGAAGAATATTAGGACCGGTAGTGCTTACGTTTTCAGCCTTGCAGATGACGCTATGTTGATTTTACTGCTTCTATGTGGGAAAACCTAAAACAAAAAAGAGCATTATCCTCGAGATATTTGATCATGGTTGCAACGTAATAAGCTAACAATAAATTATCGAATAGCAACATTGCTACACTTTACTTCTTCCATCTATTCAATTTCAAATTATAACAATTTTTCATCGATTATCATTGGCAGGCACAATTTATTTCCTGTGGATGTTACAGGATGTTTCATTTACGTACCCAGTACGAAAAAGTGCTTATTATCGCGAGTTTGATGATCCAAGCAATCAGCAACATATTTTAGGTTGGGCTTTCATTTATTTAATTAGAAATGGTTAAGAGACTATTCAAAGTCAATGCCATTTTTCTATATAAAACGTAAAACATTTTGATTGCGATGAAAAAATTCATTTTTGAACTGGGGGAGAAAACTATTGGCCCACAGAAAAAGACTCTGGCCACGGATTCAGGAGAGTCTGATTTCGTTCGAATGAATAACGATCTTGTTAGCGCAATTCGTTGCCTGTGAATTTTCCAGCATTTGTGGAAAGGTGCTTTTGTCTTGGGGTTCCACACGGATCGAGGTAAATGAAAATTGTATTTTTCTGCCTCCAATTTAGCAACACTTTTAGCTGTACATCATTAGAATCGAACTCTATTGAATATGAGATGCGGCCCACTAATATTACCCCTAGCCCAAATCTCTTGTAAATATATGTGCCTTATCTCCCTGTTAATTAATTACATTGTGGTTTTGAGTAGTCCGTCTGTACTTGTAGGGGCCTAACATGTCTTCTAATAATTGGTCAAATGCTGTTTTTTTACACTTATTTGTTGTATGTTAATCGTTTTTGTACTATACGACTAACAGATGTTTGTTACTAATGCCTCGTGTTGGTACCTACTTCATTGTTAACCCATTATGTACAAACGATCTGGGATTTTTCGTGTTAGTTCTTTTCCTATATAAATATAAACAACCCGATTTACATTGCAATGTTTGTGCTTTACTTATGGACCCTCTCCTATTGACTACTATTGATACTACTAACCTGCATTCAAAAGATCAAAGTGTTTCTCAAACACAAAAAAAATTACATCGCAATACCTAAACGATATTTTCATTACAGATCCGGAAGAGACGAACGACATAGAGCTGACGGTACAGACGTTGAATACTGTACCTCCAACTAATCCTCTTCCGCAACAAACGGACCATAAATTAAAACGAAGGCATAAGGTGTGTTGTATTTTGTGACACAACACGTTAATATAAGGAAAATATCAATTTGAACCAAGTAATTTTGTAGCGGAGAGATGCTCACAAAAGTTTTTACAGTGGACAATCTAAGGAGTTTGTTAGCAATGTATAAAATACTGTAGTGATTTACGAATAGGAACTTAAACTTTATGCTTTCATGAAACGAAAGATTTGTAAATTTGTCCTAGTCATTTGTATATACATTTTTCTGTTGAATAAATTATAATGGGTTTTAATAAATGTAATTACAATTGGAAGTAAATACACATTTTAGATTATTGTGACTATTTCCTTTGTGTACAGTCGTTTGCATCACTTAAGTTGTGAACCAATTTTTTTAATTCTCATTATATGTGAACGCATGAGCGAGAAACAAGTTTTTGGGAAATGGTTCACACACTAGTGACGTAAAGGTCATTCTATTGCAAACGACTGTACAACACCCAAACGGAATTTGTGAAACATTTTTGCAGAATCAGAAATGGAAAACCCTAGGCATCGCTGACAAGTTCTATCCTCATATTTGCAGTGGTTCCTTAGAAGAAATTGTAGGAGAAATGCAAGTTTTGGGACCTTGGGGGTGGTATACTTTGAACAAATATTTGTTTTGGTCCCCTTGGCCCCTCAATAAACATTTGTGAAGTTCCTCTCTACCCTTGACGAACTATTTTATGCTGAAAATGAAAACGTGAACACTCTGGGACTGCAGGGTCTATGCTACACATTTACGTGGTGAGGAAAAGACGCATAAAGGAAAGAAAGAAAGAGGTAAAAAGAAAGAGGAAAAACAACTGTTCTTAGTTCCAATTTTTGATTTGGTGCCCCGGTTCGAAGCTATTGGCCTCCTTTGTTTTCCCATATTTTAAGAACTATTAAAGAAAACAAAAATCTTCAAAACTATCTTTTGACCAAACGACTGTCAGCCAAGACTGTTGAAATCTTCAAAGGCATTTTCAAAAATTCATTCTGTTTACGGACGAAGCGTGCTTCATACGGGACGGGCGGCGTATTTAATTCTAAAAATAATCATCTGTAGGCTGACGAGAATCCCCACGCAACCCATATTCATGCTGTTATTTTTGCTGTAAATTTATGGTTCGGAATCGTAGCGGAACATGTGATGGGGCCTTTCTTTCTCCCAAACAGTTTGAATGGGGAAAATGATTTTAATTTCTTAGATACCTACTGTGCTACCTGACTTTCTAGCCACTAAACATCAGACGGAGAGTTTGGTTTCAACATTATGGGGCACCGCATCACACAACTCCAGAGGTCACCACATTACTAAATCTGGAATACACCATGCAATGGATCTGTTGCGCGGTCAGCCTGAAGTCCCGACATTACTCCACTATAGACATAGAGGAAGAACTATGGTGACTAGAATCGTGGCTACAGCGAGGGTCTCTACCAACATTAAAAAAACGCTGCCGGGCTTGCGTTGCTGCGTATGGTGGCCAATCGAAATTGAAAATTGAAAAAAATGTTTAAGGAATTTTGCAAGCAACCAATTTTCAAAGAATAACAATTTGAAATACATTTTCAGAGAAATCTAGGGAAGGCCAAAACAGATTTTTTCCACCCAAAAAAAGATCTATTTTCCAATTTAGTAACACCTACAAATTCACAGATATAATCATCGATTTGTTTCCAGATCCGGAAGAAATGGACAAGATACAGCTGACGGTACAGTCGTTAAAAAACGCCCGCCAAAGCATATTTTTCTCGCCGAAAACGGACCACAAACAAGAATGAATACACTATACCTAGTGATTTAGAATAGTAAAGAAAACGGAGAAATGTGTGAATTTTTCGTAAGAATTTCTATAGGTACATTTTCCGGTTTAATAAATTATAAAGGGTTCTAATAAATGTAATTATAAATTATAATTGGAAGTAAATATACATTTTAGATAACAGTAACGACTTCCTTTGTGTACAACAAACCTTTATGATGAAAATTAATTTACTCAATGAAGGGCGCAAGTATTACATAAGTATAAATTACTAATTTACAGGCATCCACTGCATTCAAGACAGTGTTGGTATACAGTACAATTTATTAAGAAGTATTGTTTTCCCTATGTCTACTTTTAAATGACAAAATCTCTTCTGAAAGGCGCCCAATTTTATGCAACCAAAATAACTTCTTAAAACAAAGATCCGGCTGTTAATTTGAATATTGTTGCTTTGGATTCCGTATTTTTATTTTCGTTCGTTTGCAATGTATTCAACTGGTGGAAAAGGTTGATATTGTCAATTGGTATAGTACCGGTAACAGTTTAAGGAGCGTAAGCGATTTATTTTCTGTTAAAGCAAAGCAACAATGTTTAAACTACTTACTTGTGATAGCCGTTTTAAAAAGTTATTTTGGATGCGTAATATTAGGCGCCTTTCAGAATAAATGTTGTCGTTTAAAAGTAGACATAGGGAAAAACAATACACATAAATCCCTATGTTTACTTCTTAATAAATTATCACTGTATAATACAAGTACAACATTTAAAAGCCCAGAGTACCTAGGGAACAAGCGAAAGCCATAGGATCTTTACAATTTTTCTCATAATCCTAAGTAGCCGGTATTTAAAAAATGGCATACTTGCCATTGTGGCATTGAGCTTTTCTTTCCAATTGCAGCAAACATGCAGGGCCTGTTTTTATATTCCCGAACGGGGTTGTTTTGAATTTTGGTGCATTTTTCATTATGCCTTTTTTTAATCACATATGCCTTGATAGCTTGTGGCAATTATTTACAAAACAATTGCAATATTAAGTACTAATTTTATTATCTGCAAGTTTGAGTCGTCGTACGTTGCCAATGGCGTATTTTCGGGGGGGATGAAGGGGATATACCCCCCCCCCCCTCCCCCCAGAAGAATTTAGTTATCATGATAGCTATTAGGTATTTAGGTAATACTCCGCTATCCGCTCCGCCCACTTTAAAATAAAGGCAATAATATATAGGTATATATAGAGAGCAATTTTAGTTTTGGTTAAAGTCTAAAGTCACTAAAATCTAAATAATCTGTAGTATTCAGTATTCACTATTCAGTGAGTGATCAGTGTTGGCAGTCAACGATTTGGCTATTCGGCATCGATCGGCAATTCGCTACATTGATGCCCAAAAAATAGGTATCAGGTACTTAGTACTGCTACTGAGGTGAGGTACCTGCGTCCTGCCTTTCACGAAATGACGAAAATAAGAATTTAAATTTTAAAAACAGGAACTTTTTTTGCCCATAACTTTTGATGGAGACGTCTAATCGAAAAAGTACGAATCGTTTTGGATTCTACGCACCCAAATTAATCAGAAAAAGTTTTTTCCCGAGAAATTTTGGTGCAGTCGATTTTTGGAAAAAAAGGAAGGTAATAACTGCCTTTTTTTTGCCCAGAAAAAAAAATTGTCTCAGATCGACCGGAAAAAAATATATAGAATGTGGCCTGTAGAATTAATTTCAAACAGTTCCAAGATCGGACTACTAGATCAAAAGTTACAGCCCTTTGAATTTTTTGTCGAAATCCCATAACTTTTGATTGAGACGTCTAATCGAAAAAGTACGAATCGTTTTGGATTCTACGCACCCAATTAATCAGAAAAAGTTTTTTCCCGAGAAATTTTGGTGCAGTCGATATTTGGAAAAAAAGGAAGGTTATACACTGCCTTTTTTTGCCCCGAAAAAAAAATTGTCTCAGATCGACCGGAAAAAAATATTTTCTTATAGAATGTGGCCTGTAGAATCCATAATTCCAAACAGTTCCAAGATCGGACTACTAGATCAAAAGTTACAGCCCTTTGAATTTTTTGTCGAAATTGTTTTTTTGACCATAACTTTTGATTGAGACGGACAAAATTCAATGGCGAACGGAAAAACCAAATGAATATTTATATTCTGGATTAAAGACTGAAACGGTGTTATACCTGTATTCAAAAGCAGGGAAACTATATTGACAAAAAAATGGTTGTTGCTCTAGTCTTTTGTTTAATATGTCGAGTTCGGGAATATAGAAACCACCCCTCGTAACAATCGCATTTTGATAAAATCTATAAACTATTTCAAGGGCAATACAGGTGGAAATGTCAGTGATTTAAATTTAAAAAAATTTTAAATTTAAGCAGCAGATCTTGTGCTATTTTGAAATATAGTATTCAAGCGAGACTACAGTACCTACTTATGCGTACTGGCAATGGCTATAAGACAATTAATTCTTGAAAAAACCCTGTATAGAAAAAACCACATTTTTAGTTCAGTGGGAACCGCCGAATCCAAAATTACTGCCAACTTTCTTAACGAGCGGAGCGGCAATGATTCAAATTGATATTGTCGGGGCCCATTTAATTATTCCCTCTATTATATGCGCGAATAAGAAAGGAAGATGTTTATAGAGAACCTGTAGAATGTAACAGTTTTAATAAATATTAAAAGTAATTCTTTAAAAAACCCTGTACAGAAAAACCCCATTTTCAGTTCAGTTGGTATCGCCGAATCCAAAATTACTGCCAACTTTCTTAATGAGCGGCAATGATTCAAATTTAAATTATCAGGGCCTACTTAATTATTCCCTCTATTATATGCGCGGAATAAGAATTCAGAATTTTTCTCACATAAAAAACCCATTTCCCATACCAGAGAGGAAGCATAATTTCAGAAATTGACAAACAATAAGATTTAAATTTATTGGAAATTGTTACTATAGCTTTACAAAATAAATTAATAAAAAATAGAAAACTGTTACATTCTACAGGTAATAAATATTAAAAGTAATAAAATTTTTAATTAGTTAATACGTATACATAAATATAATCAACGATTTGTTTCCAGATCCGGAAGGAATATGTCTTAGAGCTGACGGTAGACACTTTAAATGCCACACATCCAAGCAATTTGAACCTCTTAATTTTGTAGCAGGGAGGTGTTCACACTGGCGAATCTACAGTGAATTTGTTAACGCTAGTGATTTTAACTTAAGTTTTAGGCTGTAAAAAATTTGTGAATCTGTCCTAATAATTTGTATATACATTTTGCTGTTGAATAATTTATAATGGGTTTTAATAAATATAAATACAAATGGAAGTAATATACATTTTTGTTTAGATTATGGTAGCCACTTCCGTACGACACCCACATTCCCACTTGCAACCGTCCCACCGGGTTAAAACTAGCGAGTTTACATGAAGAACTCCTGAGTGGAGTGCGACAACGTCAGTCATGCGTTAGGCGGTCGATCTAAACAACTAATCTCTATCACACGTAAGCCTCGCAAGCTCGGATCCGTAACTATTAGACCTCGCGGTTGATACACACGCTCGTTTTGTTCGGCCACAAACTTGGAGACCCGCCTGAGACACTGAAACGAGTAAATTAAACCTAAAGCGATGTCCTATTCGCACACCCACCTTCTCGTAGTGCGTCTCTTTACAAATGTATATTAAATAAGCGGTGAGACACGCCAGACAGCCTTCACAGTAATTTGCGCAGGTCGCCTTTTCCGCAATGGCGAAGTACTCGTTTAACTTAGTAATTGTGTGCTCGAACGCTTGCCTTTCGATCTAAACACAATAAGAGATAAATTGTGGGTCAAACGTTAACTTCTAGACTCACTCTTCCTTCCAGTTCCACTGGAAATCTAGTCTGAAATTTTACAACTGTCCCTTCACTATAATCCCTTTGTATAAAAACTTTTAAACACTGCTGAGGTGCCATTTGTTCGGTTTCGCTATTATGGTGAGTACCCATTATTTGTCTACTTATACTTAGATATAAAATTAGAAAAACGTTTAAAATATATGTTGATATGCCTACATCTAAGACGCCATTTTCTTTTTGAACATGACAGATGACGTCATTAGGAGCTTTCGTCGAATCGACGAGGGTATATCGAATATACAAGGTGCGTCAAAGAGTTTTGAACGTCTCAATTTTGTTCAGCTAACATAAATACATAAAAATACTACAAACTTTAAAGGAAAGTCGTCTGAATGTCGTCTAGGGTTAGTGAAAAGACTATCCACAAGTTAATCTATATTTATTTATTTATTTATTATCCCTCTCTTGTTCTGGACCCTCAACAGGTTTGCGCCCAGGAGACGTAAAGGCTCTACTGGAATAGGTATACTGTAAGCGTACTGCAACCTAGTCATGGGTTGCGATGCCAACGCGCACCACGCCACATGGGACAGCACAGACACAGACACAGGGGGGGTCTTGATTGAGTATATAATTTCAACCTCACTTGAAGTATCGAACAGGAGAAAAAAAAGGGCCAACTAAAAGTCCTACAAAAAGACCGCTCCAATGGATTTGGGAATCTTAAGAAACCCGATGGGAAACACACAGTGTGCGTCAGGGAAAGATTCACTTACTTTCCAAGCTCACAAGAAGTAAAGGCTTCTCTTCAAGAGATAGAGGTCTATCTGCAGAGTTAACAGCGAAGCCTCAACAATTTTCCCGCAGGAGAAGGTTTCAAAATGTTGTTGGGCACATACTGTAAACTATATGTCAACTTTACAGAGCTGCAAAACCCTCCCTGGAAGCACTGCCCTCGATCTTAGTAAAGAGGTCATATAACTGGGAATTAAATTTGTACAAAGGTTAACGTGGAATGGGTAACGTGATAAAAATGGTGCAATGGCCCCGCGGAACCTAGGCGGACACCTACTAATTCTTGAGGAGGATTGTATATGAGGTGGTCGAATCTTCAAGCCGACAAAGCATATCCTAGGAGTACAAACCTTACACAAAAGGATTATTGCAAAAGTAACGAGCCCACCTTTAGGAAAGGCTCTACGAGAAGGTACAAAACAAAAAGACAGTAAAACAGGGACAGGGGTCACGAGTGGGGGATTTACCAGCAGGCTGAGTAGGCTGGAGCCTAGGGCGGCAGATTTTAGGAGACGGCAAATTTGTAATTGTAAATGTTGTCCAGAGGGTGAGTTTTTTTTGTCATTTTGACTATGGGTAGGTATCATGTAAAGCGTAAGAGAACCAAATTTGGTTAAATAGGCCAAGTTATTCAGAATTTTATACAGATTAATTCAGGGTTACAGCCCTTTGAATTTTCTTTCGAAATTGGTTTTTAGTCCATAACTTTTAATTGAAAAGTCTAATCGAAAAAGTACGAATCGTTTTGGATTCTACGCACCAAAATTAATAAGAAAAAGTGTTTTCCCGAGAAAGTTTGGTGTAGTCGATTTTTGGTAAAAAAGGAAGGTTATACACTGCCTTTTTTTGAGGCCCCCAAAAAAATTGTCTCAGATCGACCGGAAAATAACATTTTCTTATAGAATAAGGCCTGTAGATTCCAGAATTTCAAACAGATCCAAGATTGGGCAACTAGATCAAAAGTTACAGCCCTTTGAATTTTCTTTCGAAATTGGTTTTTTGTCCATAACTTTTGATTGAGAAGTCTAATCGAAAAAGTACGAACGTTTTGGATTCTACGCACCAAAATTAATAAGAAAGAGTATTTTCCCGAGAAATTTTGGTGTAGTCGATTTTTGGTAAAAAAGGAAGGTTATACACTGCCTTTTTTTGAGGCCCCAAAAAGAAATTGTCTCAGATCGACCGGAAAAAACATTTTCTTCTAGAATATGGCCTGTAGATTCCATAATTTCAAACAGTTCCAAGATTGGGCTACTAGATCAAAAGTTACAGCCCTTTGAATTTTCTATCAAAATTGGTTTTTAGTCCATAACTTTTAATTGAAAAGTCTAATCGAAAAAGTACGAATCGTTTTGGATTCTACGCACCAAAATTAATAAGAAAAAGTGTTTTCCAGAGAAATTTTGGTGTAGTCGATTTTTGTTAAAAAAGGAAGGTTATACACTGCCTTTTTTTGAGGCCTCCAAAAAAAATTGTCTCAGATCGACCGGAAAAAAACATTTTCTTATAGAATAAGGCCTTTAGAATCCATAATTTCAAACAGATCCAAGATTGGGCTACTAGACCAAAAGTTACAGCTCTTTGAATTTTCTTTCGAAATGGGTTTTTAGTCCATAACTTTTGATTGAGAAGTCTAATCGAAAAAGTACGAATCGTTTTGGATTCTACGCACCAAAATTAATAAGAAAAAGTGTTTTCCAGAGAAATTTTGGTGTAGTCGATTTTTGTTAAAAAAGGAAGGTTATACACTGCCTTTTTTTGAGGCCTCCAAAAAAAATTGTCTCAGATCGACCGCAAAAAAGACATTTTCTTATAGAATAAGGCCTGTAGATTCCATAATTTCAAACAGATCCAAGATTGGGCTACTAGATCAAAAGTTACAGCCAGGGATTAATTATACCTTTCAAAGTCCCTTGTATCTCTACAAATAGTGAAGTTATGGCCACAAAAACCGAAAAATGTCCTAAAATCAAATTTTTATGACTTATGGGTTTGAAGTCAATCACATCAACTGTCTTATTCCTTATGGGCGTCATATTAGATTTTTACACGAGGTAGAGAAAAAAATGTTGATGGACAGTAAACAGACAATAAACGAGAAATGTTAAATAATTTTAAGCAAGCTATGAATTTATTGCTATAAGAAATACATTATAACTGCAATGTAAAAATTCAAGATTCATCTCCGAATGAAATACTAAGTATTTGGTATCTCGGATTTTGCAATTTTTTACTCTATCTAGCGACGTAAAAATCCATAAGAAATAAGAAAGTTTATATAGAAAGATGAGAAAAAAATCACTAAGGGTTTTTGAAAGTTATTTTTTGATGTCTTTGAAAATAAATGAACGCCAGGTCGTCAGTGCATTCTCGAAAATCACATTTTTCGGTTTTTTTGGCCAGAATTTCGAAATTTGTGGAGAAACGAAAATTAATTAGCAGAAAATGTTGCATACCTTTGCCTACTTTTATTAAGCGACTTTGTTTCTTTTCCTGTTTACGATATCCCACAGTGAAAATGAAAATCAGGCGCGAAATTCTTGACAGCACAACTTTCTAGCTCAAACCAGATATAAAAGAAAAGCATTTGACAGTTTTAATAATCTAATATATATCTAATGAACACTGCTAAAATTTTAACAAAATCAAAATAATCGTTTAGGTAAAAAAAATTGTTTAGATTTTTAACTTGGACATATTTTTTCCGTTTTTTTTTTGTAATAAAACCGACCGTAATTTTTGTAGGTTGTATACAGAACAAGAAAATCTTTCGAATAGTTTAATAGAAGTTTTGCGTTTTTCAAAATCCGACCCGTTGATTTTTGGTTCCGTATACCTATATTATATACATAGGTATGTAGATTCAAAACCGTAAAGCCGTTATCTCGGAAAAAAAATGTATACTTTAAAACCTGCATAAAATGCACGTCCACGTTTGATGAAATTTGGACATCTTCACTATAGCAGAAAGCTTTTAGTGAAAATTTGAAGTCTCTAGCTAATGTAATTGCCGAGACAAGAAAAAATCATTACATCGGTCCCTATGGTTAGCTCCAGCACCCCTAATGGAGGTGAATTCAAGAGGTAGGTAGTTTATCTGCCGAGTTTAGATCTTTTGAGCAAAAGCAATAATTTACCGATACAATTTCTCGAAGGGACAATTGATCGAAAAACAATTTACTGCAAGTGAATTATTGGTGGTATTCGTTTAGCTAACCAGCAGCTGCTGAAAATCAAATAAAGCAACCCTTTTCAACTTTCCTTATAGGTAACCGTTTAGCGCGCAAATCCGTGCAAATTTATTCCCGTAAGGCGGTTATTGATTAAAAATTTATTAAAAAGTTAGAAAAGTTGCTGAAATAAAAGTTTGCCTTGATTATGCTTTACTATGGATACGTACAGCTCGCGATATGAAATCCCTTAAAATTAGTTTCAAACTCTGCAAACCGAGAGGTTTATACACGCTGTAATTTTCAGTTCAAACTAACCTCGAAAGTTTTATAACGATTCCTTCAAAGTAAGAATTTCTAGCATAATAATTACAAGCTACCTGATTTTATTTGCATAAACCATTTCATTGTATCGCCCTCTGTTACTTGTTATTTTTGTCGACAGTTGACTCCTAGGTGAATTAATAGGATTATAATTTTCTGTCAGCGTTGTAACTGAAATTTGCGGTTCTTCTAATAGGTGAACGAACATTTCTCCCATCCCCAATGGCATGAAAAACATTAGGAAAGTAGTTTTCTCTCATATTGCGTCCCATCGAGGCGTAAGGCTTTCCAGAGTTAGTCATTTCTCATAGATCTTAATAGATGAATTTCTAATAAGGTTTTTTTAAGCCACATGTTCATCGTGGAACAAGCTTTTGCAATAAAAAGGGTTGAACTTCTGTTCCTTTTCGATTATTGTTCAATAATAAATTTATTGAAGAATTTTCCTCTGCCCAGTTTCCGGAAATTTGACTTCAATAGATACTTGATTTCTCTATGGATTTGCTGGTAAATTCAAACATAAAATTACCACGTTTTAAATAAATTAATGAAAAAAAAATGAATTATATTACCTACTCTTTACAAGTGTGTCTATTTAAAAAAATTCAATTTATAACTTACCAATTTCAGGGCATTTTAACTTGTAGTTTTGTTTTTATTTGACTCTTAAAGTTAACCGCGGCGTGGAAAACCGCGAAAAAATGTACTTTTTGTGGTTCGCGCGTTGTAATGGTAATTAAAATTTACTCAAAAACAATTTTGTTTGATCAAAGGAATGCAGGCTTTGATTTGGTACAACACCCATTAAAATCGCCCCAATGGTTATTTCTATATTAAGCTTCAAAGTCGCGTGCATAAACTTTTTACTCGTAATTCCTGCATAAAAATTAGTTTGAAATACCTAAGTACAGGAGTGTACAGGAGGGGGTAGGTTCGAATAGACCTCGTT